ATCTCTACTGCTCCATGGAACTGCTTCAGGTATGACTAATGCACGATCCTCACGAACACCATCACTTCATTCAAACTACTGAAGAAACAGATGCTTTCTTTTTTTTTAGATTTTAACACTATTTTTATGCTATGCTGCTTATAATCTTTTACACATTTTAGTTTCTTACTCTAAACTGCATGCGATGATGGCAGAAACAAAGTTCCTTTGCATCTATTCAGGTTTAGAAAATTAAAATTGTTTTCCAGTAAAAAGGAAGAATTCCATACTAAGAACTAGGTCTTTATTTCATGTACTCACATTAAGCAGCACCTCACTCCTAAGGGTTCATTGCTTTCATTTAAATTATTCTGCAGGATGCAAATCAGGATACTGCAGGAACGTTCAGTGACTGTTTAAAGTCTGTCCTACACAGAGGAGCATGCAAATTGATTCCGATTCAACAAACAGAAGAGACACTGTTCTGAACTAGAAGCGTAGTAATAATCTTTCATTTCTAAATAGTGAAGCGGTAAGTTTAACATCCTATAATCAAATTATTTGAAGATTAAAACAGATTAAAAGGATTTTCGCTGTAGCTTCTTGTCTGTACAATTTAACAATGCTACTGTTCCTCAGTTACAAATTTTAGTTTTGTTCTTTAGAGTTCATTCAACGAGGCATTCAATGTTAGTTTCTAATGAAAGAACTTGCTCTTTCAAAAGCATGTAGAAGAAAAATAGATGTGATCAGTCATCTAGAATGACACCAAGAACAAAGCAAAATCAGCCAAACAAAGTAAAATATAAAAAAAGCAACAAGCAAACAATTAAAAGAGAAGCTTAAAAACAGCAGCAATAAAAATGGAAAAGAAAAAAAAAAGCAAAAACTAAGTCTGTGGTACATCTGATTATGCTACACAGTCACAGCTAATAATTCCACATTATTTAAGTAGCCTGTGACAAAAGGACAGTTAACTATCTGAGAAATACCAATCATCCTTAGCTAGAATGAGCCTACTGATTCAAGATCTAGTCTTAATCTCAGAATAAACAAGAGTAAAGGGGTCAAAATTACTAGCTTACCAATGACACTGTCAAGTGAAAATAAACTCCTCAGCACCACATTAATATCCATTAGCGAGTTATAGATTCAATATGCTAATACAGTAGGGAGACTGTAATCAGTGAAGCAAAACACACTATTTTCAACAGTGACAGTGCCAACCTTGTAGCAGGCCAATGAAAAACACTTTATCTGTGCTATGTCTGGAATTGTCTCAAGCATATACAAAATAAGATCATTACCATGACAACAGGCTAAAGACATAGTCACCATCAGAGCAGTGGGGCCCTGTGGAGAAGGGACAGCCTTGCTCTGTCCAAAGCACCTCAGTTTGTTGATTAACTTGTTGACAAGCAAACTTGTTTACGACAAACCTGTTGAAATCTAACAGGCTTAAAAGAATGCCTGAGAAAAGCTCAGGGTGGCTTTGAAACTTCAGTCCGAGAGTGCCTCCTTAGACTGAATGAATACAAGTCTATGGGGCCAGATGGCGTGCATCCCAGGGTCCTGAAGGAGCTGGCTGAGGTGGTTGCCGAGCAGCTCTCCATCATATTTGAGAAGTCGTGGCTGTCAGGTGAGGTCCCGGATGACTGGAGGAAGGGTCACGTCACTCCCATATACAAGAAGGGGAGCAGGGAGGACCCGGGGAACTACAGGCCGGTGAGTCTCACCTCCGTGCCTGGGAAGATCATGGAACAGATCCTCCTGGACAACATGCTTGGTCACATAAAGAATGAGCATGTGATCCGAGACAGCCAGCACGGCTTCACCAAAGGAAGGTCATGCCTAACTAATCTTGTGGCCTTCTATGATGGAGTGACGGCATTGGTGGACGAAGGGAAGGTGACCGATGTCATTTACCTGGACCTGAGCAAGGCCTTTGAAATGGTCCCCCACCACATCCTCATCTCCAAATTGGAGGGAAGTGGATTTGATGGGTGGACGACCCGATGGATAAGCAATTGGTTGAAAGGCCGCAGACAGAGGGTGGTGGTCAATGGCTCTATGTCCAGGTGGAGGCCGGTAACAAGTGGTGTCCCCCAAGGGTATGTCTTGGGACCGGTGCTCTTTAACATCTTTATTAATGACATCGATGAGGGAATTGAGTGCACCCTCAGCAAGTTTGCTGACGACACCAAGCTGAGTGGTGCGGTTGATACGGTGGAAGGAAGGGATGCCATTCAGAGGGACCTCGACAGGCTGGAGGGCTGGGCTCGGGTGAACCTAATGAGGTTCAACACGGCAAAGTGCAAGGTTTTGCATTTGGGCCGGAGGAACCCCAGGCACCTGTACAGGCTGGGAGGAGTGGTCCTTGAGAGCAGCTCGGCAGAGAAGGACCTGGGGGTCCTTATGGATGAGAGACTGAACATGAGCCAGCAGTGCGCTCTGGCAGCTTGAAAGGCAAATGGGATCCTGGGCTCCATCAGGAGAGGGGTGGCCAGCAGGGACAGGGAGGTGATTGTCCCTCTCTACTCGGCTCTTGTGAGGCCCCATCTGGAGTACTGTATCCAGGTGTGGAGCCCTCAGTACAAGAAAGACATAGAGATTTTGGAAAGGGTCCAGAGGAGGGCGACTAAGATGATCAGGGGGCTGGAGCACCTCCCCTATGAGGACAGGCTGAGGGAGTTGGGCTTGTTCAGCCTGGAGAAGAGAAGGCTGCGGGGTGACCTCATTGCAGCCTATCAATACCTGAAGGGAACCTACACCCAGGAGGGGAGTAAACTCTTCAAAAGGGCTGACAACAGCAGGACTAGGGGAAATGGATCCAAGTTGAAGGAGGGAAGATTTAGGTTGGATGTTAGGGGGAAGTTCTTTACTAGGAGAGTGGTTAGGCCCTGGAACGGGCTGCCCAGGGAGGTTGTGGATGCCCCATCCTTGGACATGTTTAAGGCCAGGTTGGACGGGGTCCTGGGCAACCTGATCTGAATGTGTATGTTTGGTGGCCCTGCTAGGCAGGGGGCTTGGAACTACATGATCCTTGAGGTCCCTTCCAACCCGGGTGATTCTGTGATTCTGTGATTCTGTGTGATTCTGTATGTTGAAACTTCAGGACGGGTGCTCTCTCAGACCAAGGTTACCCTGTAGGCTAAACCAATGCTCTCTTTCTCTGTCCATTTCTCTTTCTGTCTCTTGCCAATTCTTCACTTTCTTTTCTTTCTTTTTCCATCAAAAAGTTGTTAAGTAATGCAAGCCTTACTTCGATTTCTTATAAAGTTGCAAAGTTTATCTGCACAGCTTAGAGAGATACAATTGTAAGAATACCAACACTTTTAAGATAATTGTAGTACAGAGATTCTCATTAAAATTGATGATTGTGTTCGGAACTTGAGTGCCAGCTTCACCTTAATCTAACCAGAGGGAATTTGAGAATCTGGTCACCCCTCCTCACCCCTCCCTCTTTTGACAGACGGGATGTGACAAACCTAAAGAGGGAAAAGCTGTAAGAGAGTCTTGCTGTGAAATGGGAAAAAACTAAATATGCATTTCATGAAGACATTCAAATACCAAGTTCAGTAGAAGTAATACACGTTACAGCATAATAATTAAAGTCATATATTTGAGTGATAAAATCTTGCAATAAATAAAGCCAGAATGGTGCTGGTGGAGAAACAGTGCTGCAGTGTGTCTTGCTAATTGAACAGCTATAGCTATAGCCAGAGTTTGAACTCATAATTTCTTTCTGCCTGGGCTGCTAGATGTCATGTCTGTAGAGAAACATTAAAAGGAACATGTCTATTACATATACAGCACATGGGCCAGTATTAACAAACTGTACAACATGAAATGGTCAAAAGACATGCAAATAAACCCAAGCTACCAATTTATTTTTAGATTTTCATTCCTATCTTTTTATTATACTATATATATTATATTATACTATATATTATATTATTATATATTATATATTATATTATATATATATATAATATATTATTATACTATATATATTATATTTGTATTTAGAGATATAGACATGTGGCAACAGCAGTAACTAATAACATAGACATAATATAGGTATTACACTGCTATGCCTCACAGGATTTAACATGAAATCCTATGAAAATTCCACTTAAATGAGCAAACTAAATAATCAGAATAGTTCCGAACAAATATAAAAGAAATCTCTCTGCAGTACGTCTATAGAAATGAATAGTAACTGTTCCTTTTTTTCTGCTATCTTGTAAATAAAATAAAAACATAGCATTACAATAGTAACTACAATATTATCCTGCATAACGTTTCACAGATCTTTCAAAAGATTGTCTCCAAAACTCAATTTATTATCCACAAAATTCAGTGACGTGCTAAGTAAGAAATCCTGTATCTTTACATTACATCACGTAAAATTGTAATACATAAATTTCACTATTACAGTGTTTCAACAGAAGTCCATTTCTATTAATGTAAAATGCTAGTTTAGCTGGTGGCCCTCAAATTATTGACTGGCAACATACATTAAGTTTGATATTATGCTATCCTATGAGGCAAATCAAGCAATAGAGGATAACATGTAATTGCTACACTTTCATCCAGTAAAGCTCTACCAGAACAGTTAACCATCAACTGTCTCATAAGCTCCACAGACAATAATCAGATATTGAAGTACATCTGCATTTGCAGCAAAAGTCGATGCTTTTGTCATTCTTATGTGTATTCTTAACTGTATTATGTGGCTCCAAGATTTAAGGTGTGGAGAAACAATACAATAAGTTGTGCATATAACATATTTGTTCCTACTGATGCTTCCTAGACGAGTATTATTAAAATTTACTCTTGGAGATGATATATTAGAATATATTTAGTGTTTGATATATTAAACTATACTCAGTATTAACAATGTAACATGAAACATCAAATAGAGTAAATGCACGCGTATGCACACACATGCACACACACAATGAGTATTTTTACTTTTTGTAAAGTACATCTTAAAAGAGGAAATAAGAACTACTTACACCAGAATAGAAAGGCTCACCAGACACACAGATCACATCCTGCTCCTGGATCATCAATATATCTTTGGCTAAGTGCAGTCGCACTTTGAAAGGCTCCTGGTTACCATCCTGCAGCAAACAAATCCCTGTCTTTGTCTTGAAAGGAATAAAGAAAAAAGTTTTCTCAGCATGCACCAAATTTCAAAAAAGACAGATGATAAGTCTTAGTTGAGAGTTTGATACAGTTTGTGTTCATACTTCAATAAGTATCCAAAGCTATTACCAGTTACTGCTATGCATTTACTGTGCTTAGACTGAAAGAGAACAAATGGCTGTGGTTGTAATGAGCAGAGGTATGTTTTTCAATTACAAAGCCTAATTCTGTCCATGATGAATTTGTAACACATCTCTGGTTAGCTTTGGGGTAGCTCTGGTTATAGTCTCCATCTCTGGATTAAATGATGACAGCTCACTTGGATACAAAATCAAAACTGCTGTTTCTGCGCGCTGCACCTTTTTTGGCACAAAAAGACATACAACTGTATAACATCTCCAAACTAACCACTAAGCACTAACAGCCTATGTGAACCTGTTCTGGGCTTTTCCGTAAGCACAAGCACATCGACTTATAGTACTTTTCAATGACAATATTGAAGTTAAGAGACAACAGGATCAAGGAATATAACTCCCTCCAGTAACTTAACTCCCACTTCACTTCTGTATTCTGTATTTACAGCTACAGGTCAGGAATTCCATAGGATTCTCCTGTATAAAGTATACGGCTTTTGAGCAACTTAACAGAATCCTTGTCAGCACATATTGGTGCAACTTTTGGGATTCTACCTACAAGAGATAAGAGCAGTGAAAAAATCTGCAGGTGAAAGCACACACAGTATTAGCAGTATGTCCTTGAAGGCTGTATTGAAATTAGCATAAATAGACAAGTTGCTAGGACACTTTTGTATGAGAAATTTATTTACATATTATGTAAAAATTAGCAATTTAACACAGAATTTGCCTTTATCGTATAACTACAAGTACTTGCATAGACACAAGTATATATGTAATTATGTATATATCTCAGAAAACAATTTTTAGTTGAAAATGGTTTTAAATCTGAGGCTCATCAATGCCAGTAACAGAACTTATGTTTTCTTCATTCAGGTCAGATTTTAATCCATGGTCTGTAGAAAGTTGACTTGAGAGAAGATCAAGGACACAAAAGTCTTGCGGTGAACTTTCTCTGCCAAGGTTGACCTGGCTGAATCTAAGGGCTCTTTCTCAGACAAGAGTTTAAAAGAGCGTTTCGAAGATCTCCCCATAGTAAGCTCTGATACCCTAGATCTATAGCATGAAGAGAAAAAACAGAAATACAGAACTGACAGTAGGCAACTGTAAGAAGGAAAGCTTAAATTATTCCTACAAGGCACTAAAAGAGGTAGGAAGGTCAAGAACAATCTTTAAATAGTTTTATATAATCTCCCCTGATGAACTGCTCTTTTACTTTGGCTCCATGCTCAATACTCAAAAAATGTTTTCTCTGAGGGACAGGCAGCAAAACTGTATAATTTACTCAAATCTTTGAAATATTTTATTCAAGTAACAAAAACAAAAGGGTTTTGAACACTAAACTCACACTAAAGGTAGTGGGTGCTCTGATTATACAGACTTGTTTTAGTATTTATGTGCCATTTTTGTAACAGGATGGGATAGAAAAGGCTTGACATGGACAGACAGATTAAATAACTGGATCAGCAAAAAGAGTTAAGTTTTTAGTACCAATGAAAAACTCCCTCATAGAACACATAAAATATTAGAAAATAAAAACAAAGAGATGGTAATATAGTTAAATTGCACAATTCCTTCTCTTCATAACTTTGCTTTATAGACTCAGAGGGATCTTCCTTGTATGGAGTTTTGAAGTAAGCAGTAAACAACTATGGTCAAACAAAATAAATAAGCCCACAAACACACACCATTTATAAAACACCTTTCTCCCATAGTAAACATTAGCAAACATGCTCTCCCTCATCCCCTGGATAAATGGCAATGGGATAAATTCTGACTTTAATATACTGGTTTTAGTAGCATTGCCTTACTTGACTGCACATTTCTGATTTGGTCTGTTACCCTATAAATTCTCAAAAGAATCTTTCTGCACAAAGCTAAGGGGCTTCTTTGTGGGAATTAAGAGGCACATAACCATAGCAGGCACAATTAGGCATTAGAAAAAAATTTAAAATTCAAGTCAGTTTCCAAATGTGTGTGGGCTGAGTTTATTCAGTCTGAACAAAGGAAACCAAGCTTGGGAACAGCAAAACATTTTGGCTCTTGGAAAGATTGATTTGCACATTCAGGCATCTTACTTACATCAGACACTCTAAAATGCAATGAACCACTTCACTGTTGTTGGGCTTTATGAAAGCTGGTTTATGATACAGTTCAAAATTAAAGCTTCAATTATGCTACGTCCTTCCCTATGTTATCTGAGAGCAGCATAAACACCTATATAAAGGATAAGATCCTAGGAGATGATGCTAAAAATCCAATTCAGTTTCATTAAATAAGCTCAAGACAATTCCATAACAACAAAGACCTACATTTATTTTTTTCATTGTTCTACTTATATCTCTTGACATTTCTTTTTTTTTCCTTTTTTTTTTTTTTCCCTCCCACCTTAAAGTATCCACTAAACTGAATCAAATAAGGAGGCAAATTCCTGCATCTTTATACTGAGCTGCAACTTAGTGAAGTTTTTCTGCACATATGTTTTCATGTAAAATCACAGTGCACATCAGCACCTTTTATCCACACAGCATGCAGAAAAATTAACCTGGCTGGAAGATCAGGAGGGCTGTCTTGTCTATACCCCCACAATCTCTTGCATGTGCCAAGGCTGTGGCTGATGTCAGCTTCTGTTCCCTTGACTAACTTTTATGAGATTCCACAAGAGGGTGCGCCAAAAATTTTCCCTTCAAGGCTTTTATATTTCACTGCCAGAGGGTCCTGCCCTGCCCTGACTTAGAGCAATAAAATAGCATATGTCATGTCAGCTGAGCTACTGTAACTGTCAGTGTGAGGTCAGGCAAAGCATCCTCTCCTGCTCAAATGTATGATAAACTGCACTGCATTGAAACAGACATGGAAAAAGGAGTGTAGTTCAGCTGCTAACATTTTGTTATGCCAGTACACCTTGACTGCCCATGTGAGTGAGCCCAAACTGCTCACTCAAAATGCTTGTATTTCTTCCTATTTTCTTCATCCTATTTGTAGAATTAGGCACCGGTTATAAAGAGGGCAAGAAAACTGAGTGTTACAAGCTGCATTGGTTTATGAAGTCTACAAGGCAGGGTATGGAAGGGATAGGGAAGTAATAAACAGTCATGAAAGAATGAGGTTTTGTATGAGAGAGCAGTTAGTGACTTCAAGCAAAAGCAATGAAGAAGATAAAGGTGTCTTTCTTCCTAAGTGACAGATGCAGTGAATTTTGCACCTCCACTGTATTGTCTCTGCCATTGGATGCCACTTACTTTTTAGCTCAATTACAAAGGATCACTGCTTCGGTAAGAGATGATGTCGTTGGTACGAGTTTAGAAACTGCCTGCTGTTTCTGAACTAACATAATTATGAGAGGAGCTGAAAACTGATCCATCCATGCTTTGCAATACCACTGTGTGTTGAACTTTCTGTTTCAGAACACTGCTGGAGAATGGCGTAACATAGCAGAGCCCTCAAAGCAGGATACTTCTACAAAGAATATGGCCACACTCAGATGATTACCAGCAACAAGGCAGCGAAAAAGGTGTTTCAAAAATCTTTTTCCATTATACTCTGATTTATTCCACATAGCCATATTGGTTGTGCATAAAAATCAAGTCCTGATATCTTTCCTAAAAAGAATTTATAAATTCTTAGAGATTATAAAATTTTTGCTGTAATATATATGGCCTTCACAAATATTTAGAAATTAATTTCAGAAGAAATATATACAAAAGAGAGCTCCAGTTCGGCCTGGAGAAGAGGATGCCAGGACAAGAAGCAGTGGGCACAAACTGGAACACAGGATGTTCCCTCAGAGCACCAGGAGCACCTCTGTGCTGTGCAGGTGACAGAGCGCTGGCACAGGCTGCCCGGAGGCTGTGTGTGGACTCTCTGCTCCTCAAAGACCTTCATCAACTGCCTGGATATGGGCCGGGGCCCCTGGTCTGGTGTCCCTGATAGAGTGGGATTAGACCCAATGGACCCAGAGGGCACTGCCAGACTCAGCCATTCTGTGATTCTGTTAAAACTATGGTTTGTACATTTTGGCTAGCAGAATGGTCTCTACTAAAGGTATACCAAAATAAATAAGGTCTAAACATTGGTTTGAGAGTCATTTCCCTGCAGGACATAAAACATCAATACCTTTTAATTTACCTGGCCTAAATAAGGCTACTGACAGATTCACTGTTAAATAATTTCAATTTTAATTTTAATTTATTATTATTATTATTATTTTTAAGAATTTTAATCTTTTTCCTACAGTCTAAAGCTTTTCCAGGGTTTTGTTCCAGAGGAAATTTAATCAGTATTCCAATCCATCTTAGTTAATCTTCATTAGTTTTCAAGAGATAATATATCTTTTGGTTAGGCTACTTTATCTATTGCTTTTGCCCTTTGGTAATAAAGCAATTTAGTTTACTTTAATTCCTCCAGTTTCAGATCCTTTTTAAAAGACCTCGGCACCTCAGCAGATATCCAAGAATTCAGTCTGTGAAGCAATGGAAGAAAGGAAGAGGAAAAAAAAAATCTCTCAGTGATTTTTCTATACAGGATGACCTGGACTTTAATTTTCTCCTTTGGTTCCTGTCTTCCAAAGTGTAACAAAACTCTGCAATTTAGTTTAAAGCCATAAAGAATCCAATGCCAGTAAGGATAATGGGTTGCAGAAACTGCCTTAAAAATGTATGCAGTTAACTTCAGAGGAATACCTACACATTGGGATGTTTATTTGAACAGAAGCTGACCTCAAGGCATATGGAGACATTCCTGTCACTGCTTTACAATGGCAAGTATAATAATCAAAAAGGAAAGTGAATCAGAGGTGTAAGGGAGTGATGGCATGAATACAAGAAGTATAAATATGTGCCAGAACCACATAAAAGGCATTTTTTAAA